GCCTCCCGACGACGAGGGAGTCGAGGCCGGACGAGACGCGGAGCAGGTGCAGCGTCGCCTCCTCGTCCTGCGGCGGCGGTGGTCCGCGCGGCGGCGGTGAGGGGCCGAGCGCGCTTGCAAACGAACTGGGCGCAGGCGGAGCGCGGCGGCGGCGCGGCGAGGCTTGGGGCGGGCGGCGCCTGCAGCATGAATAGGTTTGGGCGCAGCGTCTCGGCCTCGAGGCCGGAGTGGCCTCTCAAAAAGGAGAGCACGTCGCGCGTCGCGGCGTAGTGGTCCTCGGCGACTATGTACACCTGCCGGTCGACAGCGATGACGAGACGTCAGCGCCGCGCCGGGACGAGGGGCGGTTTGCGGCCGAAGAGGAGGAGGGCGGCGAGGACCAGCGCGGGCGGACGAGGACGCGTGCACGCACAGCCGGGCGTGTGGCGACGGGGCGGGCGGCACCTCGAAGCGGTTGCAGGTGGAGAGGATGGCGGCCTCCTGCACCGTCTCGTACCCGACGAGCGCCGCCGCCGCCTCGTTCCACTGAGCCTCGGGGATCGAGAGCTTCTCGCGCACCTCGACCGTCGCCGTCTTGTGCGAGAGCCCAATCACCAGCGGCTTTCCAAAGGTCTGCGCCCCCTTGCGCTTCGACGCTGCAGCCGGCGGCGACACCGCAGCCTCTGCCGCGGCGCGCGCCTGCTCCATCGCCTTGGCCCCCGCCGCTGCAGCGGTCACCACGGCTGCTTCGCTAGGCTGCGTCGCTGCGAGCAGGAGGGGACGGAGGGTGGGCTGGTGCTGCGCTGCGCTACTCGCGCCACCACCCCGCGCGCAGTGGATCCGGCGACCACGCATCGAAACCGCTCTCGGCTCTTGGGCTGGCTGGTGCGCACCGGAGCAGCGCGGAGCAGCGGCGCGCGCGGCGCGCGAGGCGGGCGCGACAGCAAGCTGCACGCCCCCCGCCCCCGCGAGGAACGCGACAGACAGTAGCAGCAAACGCGATGCCCTCACCCTCATTGGAATGCCGAGGCGAGCTCACAAGGCGGCCTAATAAGGGCCGGGTTGTTTTTTCTTTTCTGTTTTTCGTTTCGATCCACCCAGCACGAGAGAGAGAGGGTGTAGGCAAAACAAGACACAGAGCTCACACAGAATCACAGCGGGAGAAAAGCGGCGAGTCGCAATTCCTGGGGTCCTTGTGGGTGGTAAAATCTGGGCACCACTGCCACTCTCGAGGTTCTCGAGGTGGATATCTATCCTTTGGCCGCGTTGGGTAGCGAGGATCGGTTTAACGCGGTCCACGCAGGCGTGTTTGCTGACGGCCGACCGTCAGTGCACGGAGTTGCCCCTTTATCCGACTGCCCCTGCGCCACCCTGCTCCCTGGCGCCTCTGGGCGCTGGGGGCGTCGCCGTCGCTGTCTCGCTGTTTTGGGAGAGAGAGATTTAGCAATAGGGAGGGTGGCACCTTTTGTGAAACTGAAACGCGGAACGCGATCTGTCTCGCGTTCCTCACTCAACGCTTGCGATTCAGCTGTCGCGCCGCTGGATGATCTTGCTCAGCTCGCCGAGCTCGACCTGAACGGTCAGCGGCGCGACCGCTGAATCGCAGCCGTTCGTGCTGCACGCATGCATCGTTGCAGTTTCACCTGAGGGAGGGTGTAGATGATGTAGAGTGTAGAGCGCTGTATGTAGAGCTGTATGTAGAGCTGTAGAGCGCTGTATGTAGCGCTGTAGAGCTCTACATCCGCCTCGGGACGAACTGCGTGCGTTGTAGAGCGATGTAGAACACACCAGTGAGGGAGGGCGAGACGATCGAGGGGTCCCGTACCATGCGGAATCGACCCTATCCAGTGCTCAAGTGCTCAAGCGATGTAGAGGCGCTCTACAACGTGAAATCTCTACAACAAACTCTACATCTCTTTTCTCCCAGTAAGCTTAAAGTACGTACATCAAAGCGGCGAACGAGGCACGGTCGCTCTCCGACATGAGGCGCGTTGCACTTGCCAGTGCTGCCCTGGCCTTCTGTCTGCCCGCCCAATGGGTGGCAGGTGCCTCTGCTGCTGTGGCATGCCTCACGGCTGCGACTGGCCGGCGCCTCGGCGCGTCAGCTCGGCTCGGCGTAGCGATAGTGGCCAGCGCAACTCGCCTGGACTCAACGCTCAGCCAGGAGCTCCCGCACGCGCTCGCTGGCGCGACTCATGGCGCATGCAACGCGCAGCAATGCTCGCCTCGCCTCGCGCAAATGCGACCGTCCTCGCAGCCGACAGTCCACCGCCTGCTAAAGAAGCACTGCGACGAATGCGGCACCGGCGACGCATGGCAGGCTGGTCATGACGCAGTTATAGGGTGTTGTGTGCCGTCAGAGTGACTCTCTGTGTGTCAGGGATAGTCAGGGCCGTCCATCAGAGCTCCAGTGTAAGCTCGGAGACACCCCATTAGCGCGGCTCGACCTCTTTGAGTCACTGCCTTCCCGCGGTTTGGCTGTAGAGCCTCTACAACAAACTCTACAACAAAATCGCGCTCTACATCGCTCTACAACGCAGGCAGTTCGTCACGCGGCGGATGTAGAGCTCTACAGCTCTACAGCGCTCCACAGAGCGGAGCGCTGTACATCTCTACAGCTCTACAGCGCTCTACACTCTACATCCTCTACACCCTCCCTCTCAGAGTTTCACATTACTTCCCCCCCTCCCTACGGGCTCCAGGCCCCAAATGATGTGTGAGTGTTAGAGTTGCTGTTTGGGGGCCCCGCGAAACTTCATCCACTCCCCTTCACGCCTCGCACGCCGTTCCGCTGGCCCCTCGGCCTCGCTAGGACCTGGCTAGGACCCAGGCTGAGCCGTACCGGTAGCCTGCGAAGACTGCCAGCCCTCTCGCTCGCTCTCTCACACACACACACACGCGCGCGCGCGCGCGCGCTCCTCGTCCGCGCCCGACCGCAGGGCCTCGCGGCGCGGCGCGACTTTCGCGCGCGGAACCCCACCACACCGACGCGATGGAGCGAGCTCCTCAGCCCCACAGCAGATCGACTGGCAGGGCTGGGTGGGGGGAGGTCCTGCAGCGGCGGCATCCGATTGCGTGTGCGCGTACTCCACCAGCAAAATTTAGCGCCTGCTATTGCCATCGGCGGAGCCGTTTTGCCATACGCCCGCCACGATGTGTGCCCAGGCCGCGCCCGACATCGAGTTTGGCTTGACTGGAAGGCGCTTAAGGGGGCTCGACTCCTGGAGAGGGGGGGGGGGGGTCATGTGATTTGATGGCGTGCACTAAAAAGCGCCGAGCTTTCGTTTCCGCCATCTCGACAACGCAACCTCCTTCTCCCACTGCTCCTTCTTGATCAGGGTGAGGCCGAGCCTCTCCGGCGGCGCCTGGCAGAGGAGGCGGACAGGAACCGCCTCAGGCAGCGGGCAGGGATACCGATCCAGCTGTGAGGTGGCGCACCTTGGCCTCGGAGACGGCAAACGACTTGTCCACCCGGTCAACTTCGGGGCTGGGCACGGTGCGAGCGCGAGTCGGTGAGAGAGGATTTAGTTAGCACCAGGGGGCTGCGCACGGCCTCGAAAGGGCAGGCGGAGGGAAGCGCGCACTCTCGGGTGTTGGGATCGGTATAGTGGAGCGAAGACATCGATGCGAGGAAGCAGGGCGTCTCTGCCTTGCCCGCTGGGAACTCGTCCTCGACCCAGTTGCCAATCCTGACGCCCCTCGAGTAGCGAGCGCTGCCACTGCCGCTACCTGCACAGCCGGGGCGGCGAGATAGCAGGTCGGAGAGTACCTGACGTCGCCCGATGGAGCCGCCCCCGAGCGTGTGGTGCGCGGGCACACACCACTCATGGAATCACGTTTCGTGTCGTTTCGGTGTTCGGTTGTCGCCACATTATTGCAATACCGTTATTACCACGAAAATCAAAACAGATTTTTCCCAAAAATATGGATTTTGTCACTCCCTACGCCTAAAAAAACCACCGAGGAGAAGGCGCGGGCAGCCCGGCCAACCCTTCACTCCCACCCACAAACAAGAATGAATGTTATAGCAAAACTCCCTCAGTGCGTGCCAGTCCCGTGCCCAGTGTCGTGCAAGAAAGATGTATGTAGGAATTCCTTTCCTATGTAGGAAGGTGAAGAACAGCCAGGCTCGGACTGGACACCAACGCGGTATGGGTGGACGCTGGACAGATGATGACGACACGCACGAGCGACACACAGACACAAACAGGCTCACAAGACACACAGCCAGCTGGCTGCCACACACCCGGACACAACAAAACCTCTCTCTCTCTCTCACCCGGAGTTGGCGTACACATAACTCAGGGCCACATTTTCTCCCTGTCGCCCCCCCCAGCACCTGCCCAGCACTCCAAAGGACACAAACAAGGGCACAACAAGACAACAGACGACAGGAAGTAACATGTGAGACTAGAGCAGGCTGCGCTCCCCTCTAAAGAAAAAAGAAAGAAAACATACAACCAAGGGAGGGATGGGAGGACGGCACGCCGCCACCACACAGGGATTTAAGGAGAGGAGTGTGGTGTTAGCCCTCGCCAACCCTAACCCTTGGTCGTCGGCCTCTAAATTTTGTGGTAAGACTCTAAATTTGTTGTTCCACCCCGACAACACAGCGGCGCGCCTCGCGGTAAAGTCGCGCGCGGCAGCGTGAAGCCAATCACCGGGGCAAGCGTGGAGCCCGAACCCGGATGTTCGGGATCAACCACGGCCTCATCGTCACCGCCCTCGTATTTGCCGCCGCCGCTCTCGCCCGGTGGCGCACGACTACTACTCGTGTGCCAGCTTTCCTGGGTGGCTCTCGGCCGTTTGCTCTACTGCTGGGGGACTCATTAACGGGCCGTGGGTTCCAGCCAGAGCATCACGGCTGGGTTGCCAGCCTCAGTGATCGTTACAGCCGCAAGCTCGACCTGGTTAATCGAGGCTACGGCGGGTGGAACTCACGCTGGGTGCTGAGGGCTCTGCCGCATCTGCTACCGCGCTGGGGGCCAGATGCCGCGCAGTGCCGCTGGGTGACGCTGTGGCTCGGCGCCAACGACGCGGTGGACGAGTGGGCGAAGCAGCACGTTCCGCTCGTCGAGTTCCGCGCCAACCTGCGCGCGATCATCTCGCAGCTACGGGCCGCCTTTCCCGAGGCGAAGCTTCTCTTGCTGACGCCGCCGCCGTGCGACACGGACGCGTGGGCCGCACACCGGCTGCGGCAGGGGAAGTCCTCCGAGCGCTCGCCGCAGCAGGTGGGCCTGTACGCGGAGGCAGTGCGAGAGGTTGCCCGCGAGCACGCGGGTGGCGAAAGCGCCGTGCTGGTCGACATCCACCGCGCTTTTGGCGGAGCGGACGGGAAGGGAGTCTCCAGCCTGACGCTCGAAGACGGCGTGCACTTGGGGGCCAACGGCTCGGACCTGGTGGCAGGGGAAGTCCTCCGAGCGCTCGACGGGCTGGGGCTCGGCGTCGAGGCGTGCGCCGAGGATGCACCAGGCCACGCAGAGATTGAGAGCGCTGCCGACATAGATCGATGGTACACGAGAGGTTGACGTCGCCATCCGCTGACCGCTCTCACTTTCTTTCACTGAATGTGTGTATTTATTTGCGTGCGTGTGCGCCGCGCGGCTCCTCGGAGCTGAGCGTTGCGCCCTGCCGCACCGGGCGGTACCGTCAGTCGTCAGCCCGAGGAAAAGAGGGCGATCCCTAGAGGGCGATCCGAAGAGCCATTTTTACATCCGGCTGAGTCCACACGGTCAAGGGTGCCAGCCCCCCGGGCCCCCACCGTGTAAACGGGCAACCCCTGGCGCCTGGGTGGGAGCCACGCGAGGTCACGACGTACGTTTTAAACACACCATGTAAAAGCTCTCCGCGAGCTCTCCGCGAGCTCTCTCGAAGTACCAGCTTACTTTCGAAGTAACTTCGACGCTCAGAAGTTAGTCTTGCATATTGGGTTTTTGAAATTTTAGGCCTTCCGTGCTCCGGCCTCCGCTTCAGCCTTTTCTACGCGATGGCCAGCACGTCGTCGCCCGCACCTGCTGTGGCACTCATGGATCAGATGGCGACCGACTCGTTCCTGTCGTCACTCGCTGAGCTGCGGAGCATGCCGCATACTCACGTCAATGAGAAGCTTGTCGGCAGGGCGGAGAAGCCCAACGACTTTGGCGTGCTCGTGACGTTGAATTATTCCAGAGAGCAAACGCAAGCAAAAGCGACTCGCCATCACTGGGTTGAAGAGCGATCGGCCGATCGGTTCGCCGCCACGCAGGAGGCGAAGAAGTGGGTTAATGAGCAGCTGACGGAGGCCGGTATCGAGGCGACTCTGCCAGCAGCCGCCCCCACCGCAGGCAGCAACTCCCGAGGAGCTGAATTAACTCGCCGCCTGGATCGACGAGCAGCCCGATCCGGGTGCTATCACTATGGTGCGGGCGCGATTGGCTTCACAGCCAACGCGCCAAAGCTTCTGGGGCGGTAACAATGGCGTTGCTGATGGAGCATCGCAGCTGGCGGAAGCCCATGTGTGCGCAGCTGAGCGGCAGTTGAAGCGAGCCCAGCAGCGGCTAATTTAGGAGGTCAAATCAGCGATGCAAGCGTACAAAATCGGATGGATAAGGCCGCAAGCACGACCAACGGCAGCGCCACGAAGATCGCGAGGGCTCCGACAGTCATATGTCACCGGTACATGAACATGAGTGTCGGGGTGCATATAAGAACGGCCAATATAAGAACGGCCACGCGGGACGTCCCTCCAAGTCCCGTATGATGAAATTTTCCAGGTTGCCACATGGATGGCGGTTTCGGTCGGGGATCCCGTGATGAACCACCGGACCGGACGCATCCTACATGCAATAATAACAACAAACCTAAATAATAATGTGTATATGTCACGAGAGAATTCAGAGAAACGAAAGAACACGGGGAAAGCCCAAACTCTGGCTCTCTGGGAGGGAGCACAGACAACCAACTGGCAACCAGCTGTTTGTTTGCGGTGCTTCAATTTCGCCGGCTCGACGTCCATCTGGAGGTGCTTTACCGGCGCCCGACGCTTCCTCCCAGCTTCGAGCTCCGACAGCTTTGCCGCCCGTTCCTTCATCGCCTCGAGCACCTCTTGGGACTTGGCGCAGCGCGAGCTCGTCGGGCTCGGGGATCATCCAGCTTCCAGGTCACCTTCTTCGGCGCCTCACATCAAAAGCGAAAAAGTGACCCCTTCCGCTTCTCGTCCGTGTTAACAAAATAACGGCGATCTTCGGAAGCAGTTTCCGAGAGCTGAAAAAGAAAGCTGTGAAAAGAAAGCCAATCCTGATCGCGCAGGAGGCTGCCGTCTCTCTCGCGCAGAAGACTGCTCCGCAAGCTTCGCGGTGGGGCGCGGCGCCGACGCCGACTTTCGCTGAGCGTGCGGAAATGGAGCAGATCGACTCATTCGGGGCTGCTGGCGGGAGTGAGGCACTCAGCCGACCGCACCAGGCCGGCGGCCTGTTCGTTGTGCAGCCGGCGTTGCAGGTGCAGGGATACCAGGCGGCCGAGCCCAGTCCGATCCTGGGGGGCGCGCCGACTCGCAACGCGACGGGTGGAGGCGGTGCGCGCTGCCTGCCCCTGCAGCGTCCAGCCAGCCGTCAGTCATGCCGCTTCCTCGCCGCCTGACGCGCCTCTGCCAAAACCCGCGCAGGCTCGCGCAAGGCCAAGGGCGGCAAGGGCGGGCCGGGCGCGCTGCGGCTGGGGGTGAGCGAGGAGGAGGAGAAGCGCCGCGCGCTCGTGCACGAAGCGGAGCGTGCCGCGCGTGAGCGCGCCGACCGCGCCGCCCAGGAGCTGCTGCAGGAGGAGCAACGCGTCAAGCAGGAGGGCGGCTCCTTTGTCCACGTCCCTCCCGAGCCCAAGAAGAAGAAGGGCGCGACGAAGAAGGGGAAGAAGGGCAAGCAGCCCGCAGGCGAGGCCAGTGGCGGCCGCGCGTCGGACGACAACACCGCGCACAACGACGGCGACGACACTGCGGCCACTGCGCTGCCGCCCGACGGCAGCGGCGGCGGCAGCGGCGGCATCAAGGTTTCCCTTGAGCTCTCCGTCGGCGGGGCGGGCGAGGAGGCGCGGGTGGAGGCGCACGCGCTGACTGCCTCGGAGGCGGGCGAGGAGGACGCGCTGCCCATGCAGAAGCCGCCGCCGTCGCCGCCCAAGCCGCATGATCGTGGCGACGGCAAGGCCAGCGCCGCCGAGTCTGCGGCAGACGCCTCGTGGGAGGTGGTGGGAAAGAGCCGGCGCAAGGGCCGGAACAAGCCGGCGGTGGACGAGGACGCTCCGCCGGGCTCCTCGGGCTCGTCCGACTCTGGCCGCGGTGACGCGCCAGGGCGCGGCGGGGGGGGCTTGCGGCGCGCGTGGTCCGCCGATCCGCTCGGCGCCTCGCAACGTGCCGCCTCGGCAAAGGGCGCCTCTGCTCCCTCCGCCACCGCGTCTGCGCCTTCGCAAGAGGCGCTCGCGGCGACGGAGCGGCATCCGCCCCCGGCGTCGGAGGCGGGCTCCTCCTCCTCCGGCTTCTGCGGCTCGGAGTGCGACTCGAAGTCGGAGGCGGGCTCATCTTCGTCCTCGGCGACGGGCGCGGGGACGGCCTTTGGCGAAAACACAGCCGCGTGTGCGGGCGGCGGCGCGGCGCAGCAAGACTTTGCTGGCTGGGCCGACACGGCCCTTCCCGGCGCGGCGCCCGGCGCGTGCGCCTCGCCATCCGCGCAGCCCGGGGCCACGGGTGCGGCTGGACCAGAAAAGGGAGCGCCGCCGCCGCCGCTGCCGTGGCCGACGCTGCAGGCGCCGTCCAGCCCGCGCGGCGGTGGCGCTCCGGCGAAGCCGCCGCCTGCAGCCGAGGCCCCCGCCCCGACTGCCGTCCCGCCTTCCCCCGCCGCCGCCGCCGCCGCCCTCGCCACTGCCGTTTCCGCCGCGGCGTCGGCCGTCTCGGCCGTCTCTGCCGCCGCCGCGGCCTCAGCCGCGTCGTCTGCCAAGCCGCCGGCGACGCGCTCGTGGGCCGCGCTGGTGAAGAAGGACCTGGAGAAGGAGGCGGATGCTGACCAACCCAAGGCGCCAGTGCTGGCCAAGGGGTTCACCCTCCTCTCCTCCGCCGCCGCCGTTTCCTCTTCCGCCGCTGCCAGCTTAGCGCCCGGCGCCGCAACCGCGACCACCGCGGCGCCAAGCTCCGCGGCAGCCACATCGATGCCTTCGACGGGCGGGTCGACCGAGCCCGCGCCCGCGTCGGCGGCGGCGCAGAAGGCTGCGCCCGACGCTGAGGCAGCAACGGGCGTGGAAGATCCAGGCGCGGGCGAGCAGGCCGCATCAAGTTGCCCCCTCGCGACGCAGACCTCGCCGCTCTCGAGCCCACCAGAGTCGGGCAAGCGCGCAGCCAAACCACCATCGGCTGCGCCGCCACCGCCGCCGCCCCCCCCGCCGCCGCCGCCGCCACCCCCGCCGCCGCCGCCGCCGCCCCCGCCGCCGCCATCAAAGGGCGCCAGCGTCGAGGCTGGCGTTGACGCAACTTCTAGGCCGGCCGCCCAGGCGGAGGCGAAGAGCGCCCCCGCCACTCCGC